CATTTCAACCTCTATGGGTTCGTTGGTTGCATTACCATCCCCTTCATTCGTTTCGTGCTCTTGGTCTTCTTCATCCTCATCCAAGTCCACCACTTCGATACCATCCCTTTCACTGCTATTTGCGTTGGACTCCGTCCCAACAGTCGAACCGTCATTGGCATTCTCCTCCTCAGATTCTTCGTCTGCAGATTCTTCGACTCTTTGCCCAGAATCAGCTTTCTCTTCTTCAGTTTGAGTGTCCTTTGGGTCCTCTTGAAGAGTTTCAAGAGGGGACTTTTGAAGAGAAGCCCTTTGCAAATCCTCTGCAGACGTTTGAAGTGTTGTTTCGTTTATCTCTTTCAGAGGAATGGAGGTACCTTGATCATCCTGCTGTTCAGAAGTTCCAGCCAGAACCGCCATATTGGAGGAACCTTTATTTTGAACCAGGTTGCTGGAATCTCCTTGAGGAGAGGAGTTGAGCGGAGCAGCAGCTCTGGATGGTGAGTTCGAAATAGTGGAAGCTGGATTCAAGATGTTCTGCAAGGAACAGCAGAATGTTAAGAAAAAACATTCACCAAAGTAATAAGAAGTTAGTATTGTAAAAAATTTAAAGGTTCAATTTACCTGTGGACTCTCAGAGGAGAGGTTACTAGCTATACGTTCCAACGTTGGGTTGGAGGTCGAAGGTGGATTTTTGGATTTGGGTGAGGGAGCAGCATCCCTGGAATCAAGTCCAGAGACACTAGTTGGAACGGTGCTTTTCGGAATATCTTTCTTTGGCTTCTTCTTCGAAGCAGTATTTAAGTTTCCTCCAGCCTTGGGGTCTTCCCCAGTGGTGCTTGATTTCCGCTTCTTGGGAGTAGTAGGAGGAAGCTTGTTGGTCTGAAAGAATTTTAAATGAAGAGTTAGATGCAAACCATAAAGCATGAGTGAATTCGAAACATCAAGGCTAAGTGATTACCGTTGGAATTGGAACACTGGTTGTTGTTGGTATTATTGTTGTTGTTATGGTTGCAGCAATAGTGGTTGTTTCGGGTGGAGTCACTTTGTCAGTAGTTTCGATGGAGGCTTGAGAGGCACTCCCTTCTTTCGACTTCGAGGCAGCTGTCTTTATCCTGATGGCTGAAAATCGAAACAATTAAAGCAAAGGTTAAAGATATGGAAAGTAAAAGACATTTGGGATTTTCCCAAGCATTCGCACCTGTGCCTTGATCAGATTTAATTGACATGGCAGAAAGGTCGTATCGAAGGTGTCCTGGGAAATCATGAAGCCAGTATCGAGCCCATGTCACAGTCTCAGATGGCTTTGGTTTCCTTTGAAGATATTTGAACATCTCTTTGCAAGTAAACCACCATGGATATGGGGGAAACCAAGCCAGAGCCAGTTCTGAGGTAGGTAATCTGGGAAATTTAGGTGGATGCATTTCGAATGCCAACCTATATCTATCCTCAGGTGACAGCCCTGAAGGAAGTTTTAACTTAGAAACTTTTTGTTTAAATTTTTCCTTCAAGGTCTCAGCTGCTTGATAAATTACTTTTTACATAATCCAAAACAAAGGGGTCCTTAGGAGGAACAGTTGGGGTTTCTATGGTATTTGAACTAGGAGATTCTACTGCCTTAGGGGCGTCCATTTTGTTAAATAAGAGTTTGAAGCTATAACAAACTGGGAAAATCGTCCTGGTGTCTTTTAATATTTCAAAAAACCGTAAGAGGGCCATTTAAAGCTAACCTCTTACCAGCAACGTTGGTAGGAATGAGTACCTGTGACGCATACAACATTTCTTTTTCTTTTGAAATCATCTGAGGGGCAAGAACGGATTGACCTTGGTGAGTGATGATTTTACTTTCCATGGTAGCTCCTGTAGTTTTTCCTTTCTTCTTGGAGACTTTCTTGAGTTGCGATGAAGTAGAAGAAGACATTTTTGAAAGATGTTGAAAGCTTGGATTTTTTTTTACGAGAGAAGGAGGGTAAAAGATTTAGAGTGTGAAAAGAAAAGAAAAAGATTAAGTTGGTGATGTTTTATAATGGGGAAGTTTAAGAATCCACCGAATAAAGGTGTGATACGTGGAGATCATGGGTTGGTGTGATGAAGAGGTGGCGTAAAGTTAACATGGGTAATAGGCGTGATTTAAAGATAATCATTATTTGTAACTGCACCATGCTGTGAAGTGGCTCCAGGCGGTTAAGGAATCCAAAAGGTGCTATGATTGACGTGACTGGAGTCAAATGCATTAAATGTACGATGATTCGAAAGTCCCATCAAAATCTTGTGTAGGTGTTTAAAATAGGTATTTCTCAGAGGAATCGAAATACATATTTTAAAGGGGCAATTTGTTGGCTGAAGATTTTGATAATGTTATTAGAAGCCAAATGAATTAAACGTTTTGATCGAAATGAGGTAAAGCGTCATGTTTCGAAGTAGCAGAAGCAGTGTTTCGAATAAGTATGTCAAAGCTTAGAGCTTCGAGTGGCAATTATGGGAACATATCTAAAGAAGTCTCGAAATAACAACAAGGCTGTGTCTGGGAAGAGCGTTCGAAACGGAGAAGTACCAAAGCATTTGAAATTCAAATGGAAGCGGGACTTTCGAAGTTTGAAAGTTATGTGCTGGAACATTTGGGGACACGTGGAAAGACGAAAGAGGCATTGTCCTGCATGTTCTAAACGTGGCATAATCCTATAGCAAGACCGTTATGGTCGAATTAGTATAAATATAAGTCTTAGTATTAGGATTTGGGGTGTCATATCTATTATACAAAATACTCAGTAACATTCAAACTACCACATGGCAAGGGAAACGAATGCAAGAGAAATGTATGTATGATAGCACCATGTATTTCTGATTTAATGAAAACCTTTTACCATTTCCAGCACTTTCCTTTATCCTTTTGTCAAATAACATTTACAAGTTTTCTCATTTACAGTCTTTTCACTTCGAAATCTCTTCTTCAAAGTTTTACATTTTAATGTTTTCTTCATATTTCAAGCACTTTATATCTCAGAAAACTGTCATATTTTCCATACCTTTACCTTCAAGTCTTATCCTTCGAACGCATATTTTTACTTAAAGTCATTTAAAGATTTCTTGCATTAAACGCTTTCTTCATATTTCAAACCTTTTACGTTCCAGAAATCCTTTATATTAACTGTTTTGTAAGTCGAAACCATTTACTTCACTTTTATGCAATTTTACATGTCTTTACAATTAGCATTTATTCATGTAACTTAGTTTTCACACACACATTTTGATTACATCTTTAGACTTTTAGAGAGAGAAATCGAAATAAGCCAAACACATATACAATATCAACCATGAATATCTGTTCGATTGTAAGAGTAACCTTAATATCCAAGGAGTCCTAGGATCAATCTAGTCGATCCTGTGAGTTACCAGAGGAATTGAATAACAGTCAGAAAGATTATTCGATAATTTGGAAGACTAGCGGTTGTTTACCAGAAATCACTGGAAACACCACGATGAAGGATTGGTCTTCAAAGCTTAATGACACACTTTGGGCCTATAGGACGACATATAAAACCCTATAGGCATGACCCCATTTAAGATGGTATATGAAAAATCTTGTCATCTTCCGGTAGAATCAGAACACAGAGCCTATTTGGCTATCAATGCCCTAAAAATAGATTATATTGTCGCCAGAGGAAAGAGGACGTTAGATCTGCACGAGCTAGAATAGTTACGGTCAAATGCATATGAGAATGTCTTGATATACAAAGAGAGAACCAAAAAGTGGCATGACAGACAGATATCTAGGAGATAATTCAATGAATGAGATTTAGTATTGTTGTTCAACTCTAAGTTGAGGTTGTTTTCCGGGAAACATTGGTCCAAATGGTCAAGACCGTTTGAACTATTTTTAGTTAATGGTCAGTTTGAAACACTATCATCCTTTTGATAATGTGCTGAACAAGATTGTATTTTGTAATTGTATCCCTCTTGAGGGTCGAACTTTAATAAGTCGAGTTTTAAAGAACCACTTAAATTATAAAAGTAAATAATAGTAATAACTTTATGCCGCAATTATTTTTTCTATACATTTAAAAAAAAAACATCAATGAAATTTATATAAATTATAAATTTCAACTAAGTAAAATCTCAAATAACTTCAATTATTAAATAATTTATAAAAACAATATATTTAAGATTAAATCATAAAAATTATAATATTATAAAAATTTAGTAAGATAACAGTCAATAATTTTTAAATTATTATAGTTAATTTACTATTATTACTTTATCAATTTTTCTTTAAAAAAACAAAATATAACTAGAAAAGATCGAATAACAATCAACTTAAAAATAAAGATTCCAATACAATCAATTAATAAATAAATTTTTTAGCAAAAGAACTCATTCATAATATATTAAAATTAGAATTTAGAACACACAATATTAACAAGCGCATTTACACAAATATTCAACTCTTACTTAAAATTATTAATTTAATTTATTATATATTAAAATTAAGTAAAACAATTTAAATTATTATTTACCTAATTATATAGTAGTTTAGATAAATTCAATAAAAATAAAATAAATTAATAATTTTAATTTTTTAATTGATTTTAATAATGTAAAGACTCTTTTTTTGAAATCAATTTAGAAAATAAATTGCTAAATTACTAAAAAGAAAGTAATAATTTAGAAAATAAATTGAATTTTTCATTAGTAAAATAACATAAAATAGAGTTCAATCCGATAAGAATAATAAAACGGGTCTGATCCGTTGAACATATTAATTTTACTTGAATTTTAGTGTCAAATAAACTAAAAACTTAAGTTTTCATCCTCTAATCTGACCTTATACTCTATTTTTATTTTCTTTCGATACTAACGTTTATATAACAGATCTGAATTTTAAACACTGATCCTCGATTATTATTTCGGGTAACAGAATCTAAACAGTCTAAACAGGACGGGTACCCTTTGGCAAATAACATTATAGTTCAACCATATACCCTTAGCGGTGAAGGTTCACCAGAGAAAGGAGAAACAAGAGAATGGAAAATAAGCGGAAAAGGAAGCAAGCGGCGGAGACCGCCGTCAAGCGAAAGCCGAAATCTATTCGGGTGGGTCAAATCCAAACAGAGAATCCGAAAAACCCATTCCCTTCCCACACTGCACCAACCCCACAAGAATGCCTCGACATACGCGACACCCTCTTAACCCTACACGGCATACCTCCAGAACTCGCCAAATACCGCAAATCGCAATCAACCGACGACACATCACCACCGGAAACCGTTCTCGACGGTTTAGTCCGGACAATACTCTCACAGAACACCACCGAGACTAATTCCCAGAAAGCTTTTGGTTCTCTGAAATCATTGTTTCCCACATGGGAACATGTAGGTAACAACTTCGTTAGTGTTCTTGTATTTCTAATTGTATTATCGTTATAGGTTTTGTGTTATCTGAAACGGTGTCGTTTTGTTTGTTGAAGGTGCACGGTGCTGAGTCTAAGGAGTTGGAGAATGCTATTCGATGTGGTGGCTTAGCACCGACTAAGGCTTCGTGTATTAAGAATTTGTTGCGGTGTTTGTTGGAGAGAAAGGGGAAATTGTGCTTAGAGTATTTGAGACATTTGTCTGTTGATCAAGTTAAAGCTGAGCTTTCTCTTTTCAAAGGAATTGGTCCCAAAACAGTAATCTTTTTTCCATTATCTATTGGTTTGTTTATGAAATGTTGATCATATTACCATTTTAGTGGCATGTAATTTATACAGCATTAGGGTTAGGGTTGCTTTTGAAACGATAATCGTATGCAAAGCTAATATGTTGTAGAAAACAGAAGATATATCTTGTGTTTCGGTAAAAATGTGAACACTGGTGCATAATGTTTTCCTCCAATTCAATTTTCTCTATTTGTTCTCTTTCCCAATTTAATGACTACATCAGCACCTTGTTTCTCATTCAGAAGCGACTGCCCTCCGAATTTCTTAACTGATCTTCATGTTATATACATTTTATCTGCAAAAGAAGTGTTAGCCTTGAGAAAATTATAACCATTTTTTGTAGTGATATTTTATGTCAATGTTAGCTTTTGCTATGCATAGCCGGTCTCAAGCTCGGATAACAGAAGAGGGTTGTATTAGGCAGTCAACAACCAACGCAAAACTTTGTCAAATCTTTATAATATGGATCAGCTACGAAATATTGTGTCAATGATATTTGGTTTTTTTATTTTACTTTTTATCTAAGTCAAGAGGCTCAACCTTGCAGAGCTTAGCTGAAGTAGATCGCAGTAAGATTATTTTGCAGGCACGTGCATGTATATTCTCCCTGTTTTAGCAATATGTAGTTTGTAGTATATGATATCAGGTGTGAAGAGATTGAGATGTGGACAATCTATTAAGTATATTACTCAAAGCTGTTTGATGTAGATAAGGCACCCTACATTCCTCCTAGCTCCATGGATTCTAGTGCTTTGAGTGATTTTGGTGGAGTTTGTTTATACAATAGGCTTAATTTCAATGTTATCTGAAACATGAGACAGTAGGCTTGATGTTCAGGGCATATGCTTATAAGGTTTTGATTCCTGCAAAGCATAGTGAATTCCCTTCATGAACCTGGCTTGGCCTAGGGAGTCAAATGATGGGCTATTGATCATTATGTTGCTTATTTTCTTGAAATATCAAAATGTTCATCTATGTTAGGACATTGTTTTCTTTAATTTTTTATTAGGAAAATAATGTTCGAACTGGATGGATGGATCATGGAGAAGGACTTTTCCATTTTGTTTTTGGAATATAATGGTACCTAGACATCAGAACTTAACATATAAATGTGTATACTTCCTTCTCCAGTACAAAGAGACTTGTTATGACAAGCAATATTAGTGGGATAATTTGTTGTATTAGTGATATCCCAACGTTGATTTTATTTTATTGCATCATTTGTAAGATGTTAAAATTTGCAATACTCTAAATTTAATATTCAATTCAACATAAATGTGTAGATAATTTCCTCCTTTTGTGTTGATTTCTCTAAATTGCGTGATTGATTATAGGTGTCTTGTGTGTTGATGTTCAACCTTCAGCTAGATGATTTTCCCGTGGACACTCACGTATGTATTGATTCCATCTTTCTTTTACAGCATATGATTCCACTGAGTAATTTCATAACACTTGAATATTTATGCAGATATTTGAGATTGCAAAAACCATGGGTTGGGTACCTTCTGTTGCAGACAGAAACAAGACATACCTTCATCTAAACCAAAAGATCCCGGATGAACTTAAGTTTGACCTGAATTGCCTTTTGTATACTCACGGGAAGCTCTGCAGTAAATGCTCCAGTAAAAAAGGAAACAAGCAACAGGAGAAATTCAATGATAACTTGTGTCCTTTATTAAATTATTATAAAGAGCCAGTTTGAGCTTTTGAATTGTGCTAACAAATTATTCAGTCTTTTGAATCCTAGTTCAATATGGATACTCTGATCTTCTAACTATGTAGAACCCTTTTGATATAGGCTTAGGCAGGATAACAATTTTGAAAATAGTCAGAAGTAAGGTTTAGTTTGGATTGTATGAAAATTGATCAATATCCAATTCAATTAGCTGGTCTTTTATGTGACATCTACCTTTGTTTATAGAATGACAAAGATAACATAGGGCGTGAAGAGACGAGAAGCAAATTACATCCATTTTGAAGTCTGTCCTAAAGTTTGCATATCAGGTTCTTGACTCGAGCATTTCTTTATGCTTCTAATTCCATGTTCCTGGTATCCAAACAGGTAATTGAGACCAATCACCATAAGTATAGCGTAATTGAAAAATTGAACAAAGGAAGTTTTCCTTTTGATACTATTTGAAAGAAGTGAACACCTATCAGACCAAATCACCATTAGAGATTAGAGACCAAGGCGAAAATAGAACAATGTTGGCTACTTCGAAGGCAAACTGATGATCCTATCCTAAGTGAAATCTATTTGTCTTCATTAAAAAAAAAATAGAGTCAAATATAAATTGAATTTTGAAATGTTCATCTTAAATCTTTACTATTTGGATGTCCTCCTCTTCCTCCATCTTTTGGGTTTCTCTTCTTCACTTTCTCTCCCTCTTTTCCCCTCTCACAATCACATTGCGCTTCCTAGAAAAAATATTGTTGTGAGAATAAGTTAAGTCGAGTTAAGATTTGTTAAGATTAAGTCTGATTTGCTAAAAATATCAAAGGTTAAGTCTGATTAATAGTCTATCATAGACTAATTTTTAGGTTAGAATTTGACATTTTTAAAAGTCTGATTGACTTATTAACCTACTTAATAATATATTTTATTTAATCATATATAATTAAGCAATTTAACTAATGTTCAATAGACTAAAAAAATTAAAAGATCAATAATACTAAAAATTTATTTGCATTGATTTATCTAACTTTACCTAGTTGTACATTCCATAATTCTGAGTCGAGTAATACAACTGAATATACCGATCAATGTTAAAACGATAGAGGTTTACTTGTTGTAGCCTAGTTTTGTTGGTCAACCTAGTTATGTGTTTCTTGCCTAGATGTATGGGTCGACTTGTTTCTGGCCTAGTTGTGTTGGCTGAATCGTTCCTGGCCTAGTTGTATGGGCCGACTTGTTCATGGTCTAACTGTGTTGGCCAACTTGTTTCTAGCCTAGTTGTGTTGGTCGACTTGTTCCTGGCCTAGTCGTGTTGGTCGATTTAGTTGGTTATCCAGACAAGTCATCGATTCAGTTACAAATTCAATATGTGTCGGTTATAGATCATTGATGGAGTCGGTTATAGACATTACAACTATTATGTATGGAAGTTACAAGTGATTAATGGCCAATTACTTTATAATGGCCATTAATCGTAATTATCAAGGTCTATACTATAAATGAGGCTCTCACCCGAGGGATAAGCAAGACATTCATCTTGGGTCAATACATACCATCATCGTAGCATCCAAATTTCCCGAAATCATACAGAACTTTGTTCATGTTGTGACTCTCCTTACTCCTATAAGGAAGTTACTCGTTTAATGTTTTTCGCAAGAACATTTGGTGCCCACCGTAGGACCCCGGTAAAACTTTCACGTACCACACTTCAATCCTAACCCCTACCATTAGTGGAGACGGCAAATCCTTATGTTTGGTCAGTGGCAGCTGATGACGACATCGAAGTTCTGCCAATCCCGCAATACGTAATTTCGTCGATGAAGGAATCATGAGGCTCGCATTCCAGATTTGTTGCCATGGCCGGCCTCTTTGGATCGTTGCAAGAAATCCTATATAAAGGGTATAACTACTTCATTGAAAAGTAACGACAAAGAAAATAAAACTCATATACTCAAACGATTAAGGAATCAAAGTTATTGTAAAAAGAGATAAAAATAAGAGAGAAAATATTCAAAGAAAGTAAAACACAAAAGTTTTTGCTCAGATTTGTGTTAACTCATATTCTCTAAAAACACAAAAGTTGTTGCTCAGATTTGTGTTAACTCATATTCTCTAAAAACACAAGAGTTGTTGCTTAGAATTGTTTTAACTTACATTCTCTAGAACACAAGAGTTGTTGCTCATTATTGTGTTAGTTATATCATTGTTGTACGCACAAGAGTTGTTTCTCATATTTGTGTGTAAACATATGTTCTTCATTGTACGTGTTTAATCTATTTTTTAGAAGCACTATTGTAAAACAATGTTGATTATAAATCTTTCTAAATTTATTTTCTCAAGTGGCTAAGTTGTAGTCATAATTACTTTAGAGAGAGCTAAGGTGTTTTTCTAAACTCTTAGAGGTTGTTGTAATCTTTCTAGATTATTGGATTAAGTCTTTTTCTAAGGCAAAGTCACCTTGGCGGGTGGACAAGAGTAGCCTTTTCTAAGGTGAAATTTTATAAAACAAACATGTCACTTTTCTTTCTTACTTAGTTATCTTTGTTTGTTTGTGAGAAACATTTACAAAATAAATAGTTTTTGAAAACCTCAACTCAAACTCCCCATTATTGTGTTTTTTTCAACTTCCACAAGAGAACTTGAAACCTCTGGCATAATCCGCTTCGGTCGTGTAATGTTAATAAAACCTCTGGCCTAACTGAAGTCCACGCGAACTTGAAGCCTCTGGCATAAATACTCGGTCAACCTCGCCTTCATGGTAAAGGGGCTCAGAATTAATAATCGGTCAACCTCGCTGTAGTGGTAAAGAGGCTTTGAACAAAAATAGCCCGGGCAATCATGAAACTAAAAAATTGAGGATTCATGCCCCAGGTAAAAGAGAATTCACTAAAGGCTCATTAATCAAGCGTCGTGAATGACTGATTACCCGCTTCAAATATGTCAGGGGCTCTTAGTCCAAATTAAATAGTATCAATAAAATAGACTAAACTCCCTAGTTACATCACAACTTGGGCGAGGATAAAATAATGTTGAGCTAATCGTATCTGGACACTTTACTCCTACGAACTTTGTGTCTGGGGGGCTTAGTATACACCCAAGAATATTTTATAAATTAGGATAGAGGAAGCTGATTAGGTCCTTCCTCAAAAGCCAAACATATGCAAATAGACTCAACATCAGGGTTATAACTATTTTGTCGGGATATATTAACCCGACCTCAAAAGGCTTGGGGCTTATAAAACCAAACTGCTATGATACAAGTCCGGGTAACGCCCTTCGTGGTAACTCCCAGGTATAATAAATACCTTGAGATGTTCTCTTGAGGCTCATTAGTTCGAAGTTATGAATAAACAGACAAAACTCGGCCTCACCCAGGCTTGTGGCTCTTAATCCAAAAGGAACACTCTTATCTGAACACTCATTCCTGTGAACTTTGTACACGGGAGACTCAACATGTGTGAAAATCACATCACAAGTATTCAACACTTACAAATAACAAACAAGCAAAATGCCAGGAATAAAAAGTCGATTACTCACTCCAGGCACGCCTAGGGCTTAAATCAAACGGAACTCCCCGGTTGCATCACAACCCGAACAAGATACTTCACTTTAGTGGACTTTATACCTGAAAGGATTTGCACATAATCTGCATGGGGATATAAATAAATATTCTTGAAAGATATTAAACTTGATAGGGTTTCCATATGGACAACCAAAAATAATGCTCGACATTCCGTGATCGAGCACTTAAGCCCTATGAACATTGTGCCCGAGGGGCTTAGATACATACACCTCAGATTATTTTAAGCTGTAATGCTAATTTATAACGTAGGAATAAACAAACAAAACAAAGCAAAGTAATTATAAATCCCCAAGAGGCAAAAAGTCATTCAAAATCCAGAAGGATGAAAGTCACGGTCATAAACAAAAAAGGGGGGACAAAACCAACACTCCCTTGCAAAATTACATAATGCATCCTAGTGGATGACTAACCAAAACAAAATAAGAAAAGTAAATCACGCAACAGGGTTATCTCCCACATCGCCATTATTGTCGTTCCCATCAAGAAGACAGGTAAATATAGGCCTTGGCCAAATCTTCGACTAGGAGCAGGGATAAAAAAAGTTTCAGGCCTCGTGCCTGGGGAAACTTAGTATATACACCCCGAGATATTTTATCTAAGCCGGGATGTGAACTCGGTTAAGCCCCAAAGTTCTCTAGACGTCTATTACTCGTATAATTAAAAATCCTAAGTGTGATAGATTCTTGGGTTAATTTGAAAACCCCGATCCGATCGACTCAAAAGTTGGGATAAACGAACACTGGCCCAATTGCTTTATGATACTGCCGAAGATGATAACCTAATCGGTGATTGATCAAAAGGGCTTCATCCTAAGGCTGAAATCATGAATAAGTCAGTAATTAATAAGTAAAAGCTAAATTTATAAGCCGTATGGGGCTATACATTCTCTATGCTTAGAACTTACCATGTCCAAAAAAATTTAAACTGGTCGAGATCCACTGGGGATCTCTATCTTCCCAAGGTGTATAAAATTTTACCAAATGTTGCAACGACCATAAGTCAAGAACCAACTAGGACTCTCCAGTTTTCTTCACAACCGTCGAGACTCTCCGACTTCTCTTATTAAAATTTTAAAACCTCTATCTGGCCATAACTACGAGAAAGAAAAAGGAATATAATATCCATAAACATTATTCTTAAATAACCCACTATCAAACATCATCCAGTCGGGAGGAAATTTTTATAAAAATCAGTTAAGTATGAGTGCAGAGATTTCTAGGGTTCTTTGTCCGAACACTTCAACCCAATAAATTTTGTGATCGGGGGGCTTATGTACATCATATAATTCTCCGAGCCGGGTAATACAACCGAATATACTGATCAATGTTAAAATGATAGAGGCCAACTTATTGTAGCTTGATTCTGTTGGCTGACCTAGTTATGTATTCCTGGCCTAAATGTATGAGTTGACTTATTCCTGGCCTAGCTATGTTGGGCGAATTGT